GAGTCTGTTAAAGAAGGTTCCATTAAGCATCTATGAAACGCAGTTTCGGATCCCAGAGTGAGTTTGTGCTGCCATTTGTAACATGGTACTAACAGGAGTGCACGGCGAGAAGATGCATCAGACACACTCACTGCGTTCCAGTCCAGGCTAACAAATGTGACTCAGTCAAGTTCTTCTCTCTCTAAAAGCTACAAAGTATGACGGACAAAAACGAACAGCAATTTACTGGGGATGGGCTTTAAAAGAGAAAGTAGAAACAGGAGAAAAACTTGAATATGTTAACTCTCTTACTATCTACCATCTTTAGAGAATGAGTCGTATCCAGTAAATCACAATTCCAGGATACTCAAGCTCATCCTTTCGAGCTCTGAAGCTTTGGTCATAACCGCTGAGGGAGAGAACTTAGCAGGTAGGCCATTCATCCTTCAGAAGATGCCACACGTGACTGATCCTTTTTAGGTGACCCTGGGGCACTGTAATCTGACTATCAGTATCAGCAGAATAGCCTGTTACAATTCTATGCCCTCGGGTCGCATCCAAGCAGAGGATTTTTCCAACAGCAGCAATATTTTTTTAAACTTTGTCTTTTCTTGAGTTTTTGTGTCTTGATGCCAAATGAGAGAATAGTGTGTTCTAAAATTCTTAGTTGGTCAATTTTTTAGTTGAGCCTAAGTTGAATTGTGGAGTCTCAACTCTAGATGTAATGGGAAATGGTACAGTGAAAGGCAAAACCATATCTGGCCAGTACTATGGGCATAACGTAAGGATATTTTCTAAGTTCCAGCACCTTGCCATGTAAATGTGGTAAACAGCACGATGAGAAGCCGCGTGAGACTGCAATGGATGAATGAAAAGCACTCTCCTCTCCTCTTCAAGAGCAGCTGTGGTCTTTAAGGATAAATGGAACAGGTCTGAACGTGCCAAATTACAAGGGTTTTTCCTCCTCGAGGGGAGGAAATAGTGAATATAAATCACCCTCCCAAACAAGTATTTATCTTCTAAAAATAAATTTTGAGTTGTGAAGAATTATATACTAAGATTGCATAAAACATTAAGATTATGTTTTAGTTGTTTAAAGTATAATCTTAGCAAACTATTATCACTTCATCAAGAGACATACTGAAGACAAGTAAGATACTGGGTTAAATGTGGTCTAAAAAAAGGGGTCTAAATCATGGTTTTTAAACCTCAACAGGCTTACTCTATTCAACAGAATGAGCAAAACAAAACAGATACGTATTATAACACGTCTGTAAATGATGAAGGAATTTAGTAGGATTTTATAGTTTAAGAGATGGCGTATGTTCTGATAGTTTAAGAGATAAAGAGTTGGATAAAGTACAAGGCTAGAACAAATTTCTCAAGGTCACTTACTCAGTTTTTAATAGACATTAGCAACCTGCCCCCCACACCCAAATCATAACCAAACCATATGGCGGAGCTGTAAGTTAACGCTTTGGTCTCTAAATGGAGGACCCTGCATTTGGCTACGTGACATTTAGGAAGTCCTTTAGTTGCTGAGGCCTGATTTTCTTATCTGTAAAATAGATTTTTTTTTACTCTTCCTTGTTTACAGAGCTGTTAAAGGGCTCCAATAAGACTGTATTTCCTTCTATCCCACAAAATACCATACCTTTTGGTTAAGGGGGTTCGTTTTTGAAGTAATATTCCCTCTAATTTAAATAAAGAGTTAACAGAGAACAAACTACAGTTACTAATTCGAGTAATCTGCCCCACTTTCGGGCATGCATAAAAGTTATTAAACATGTGGTTATTAAGCTTATCATACATGCCTGCAATTACTGTTACTGTTACAAAATCAGACCAGGGATTTCAGTTTGTCTCATTTTCCATGTGCTACCCGGTATCTATAAGCAAAATTGTTTGTTGCTTTTTAAATGCATTTTGCATCACACAGATATCACATGATCTCATTCGTCATAGATCAGGGCAATAAGAAAAAAATTCAGAGTACTGAGTACTTGATGCTGCGAGAAAGGGGGGCATTGGAGTAGAGATGGGGATAAAAGAGAGGGCTGGATCGTGATGTCTCAAAATGTGACAATAATATATCCAGGCCTGGCTCCAGACCCACCAAGTCAATCTCTGGGTGCAGCAGGAATCTGCATTTCTAATAAGCCCCTGTGGGAACTCCTGTGTACCCTCAACTTTGAGACTACAGAGCTCTGGTGTATAATGCTTAAGTGCCCCAGTGTTTTTTATTTATCGATTCGGAACTTCACCCTTCACCCCATTTCTCTCAAGGATCTTTGTATCACCCAGGGGATGTGAGGTCTTTTTATTTCAGACTCATCATTCCTAATGGCAGAGGGGAAGGGGAAGTAAGTCCAAGACGAACAGATAAATTTCAGGGAGGAATCACCCCATAAAAGAAATGCTTACTTTCTGGTTCCTAACTCTTTCTTTTTGGACACTTGAGGTCAGAAACTTTTAACTATCAGGGATCAAATTTCTTTCTTTTGGGAGGAGGCTGGGCAGCCTGGAGACTAAGGCCCCCTCTCTGCCAGGCCTGCCTGAGGACAAATAACCTCCAGCAGAATTAGGGCTTTTCTTTCCCTGGTTCAGTTAACCTTTGACACAATCTGGTAAGAAATAGAGATTGAGAGAGAAATGCGGTGATGTCATAGACACTGTATCATCACAGTGTAACACGTTGTTACTCACGTGTCTGTGTGTGATGCTGGTGTAAACAAACCTACTGCGCTGCAAATCATATTAAAGTATAGAGCATACAATTAGGTGCAGTGCATTTGATTTGATAACAATAAGTGACTATGCTGCTGGCTTATGTTTTACTATACTTTTGATCCTCATTTTAGAGTGCACAAAAATAGTATGCTGTGTTACGCCAGCAGCAGCTTCACACGTCTCGTGTTTACCCTGCTGCTTGATTACATCATTTCTCTTGTGCTTGATTTAATCTCGTGTTGTTTTATAAATTGAGTGGAGCCTAAGTGCACAGTGTTTACAGAGTCTACAGTAGTGCACAGTCTGTCCCAGGCCTTCACATTCACTCACCGCTCACTCATTGACTCACCCAGAGCAACTCCTAGTCCTCCAATCATGGTAGGTACCCAGACAGGCGTGCCATTATTTATCTTATATACTAGTACATTATTTTTCTATCCCTTTCCTATGTTTAGATGTTTATATACACAAATACCCCTGTGCTACGATTGCTTACGGTACTCAGTAACACGCGGTACAGGTTTGTAGCCAGGTGCAGTAGGCTCTCCCACACAGCGTAGGTGTGTAGTAGGCTACCATCTAGGTTTGTGTAAGTGCACTCACTCTGTGATGTTCGCACATGACAAAATCGCCTAACAATGAATTTCTCAGAAGGTATCTGTTGGTAAGCAGTGCACAACTGTATAAATGAAAGAGATTTTCTTTTACACAGGGTATGACAAATACAAAGTTTACTAAGTATTTAAAATACTGAATATAGGCCCTACGCCATCCCTTCCCCTCAATTAATAATCTCTGCAGATAATCAGGAGGATACTATTTAAAAACACACACAAAAAAACTATTGGAATAAAAATGGTATCCTGGCCCGAGTTCACAAACTGGCAGGCTTGCAGGGTAATTTTGCCCACAGAGAGGTTTTGTTTAGTCTGCAAAGTGTTGCTGTTGTTTTTAATTTGAATTACTTGCCAACTTTAAAAAAGGCAACCCGGAATTTTTACATAAAAATCCAAATTTCCGAATTCTCCTGGAAGAGTGCAAGGCTGTTAACAAGGTAATAACTGGCAAAGCTTAGTGGTGGCTGCTTCCTTTAGATGAGTTCTGTGTAAATGGAGGCCCACTACTGAACCAGCCTCCAATCAGTGCTCACCCCTTGGGCCCCATGTATCACTGGTGTTTGTGGCATTTGGCCTCACCGGGGAATAAACACTACCAGCCAAATGAGGTAGTTCTTTATGGTGAGTTTCACAGCAAGGGGGTCAGGGGATTAGAACCAGATAAGAGGGCTAATGTTTTTCTTCATTTCATTTAGAAATAAAGTGACCTCTGAGTAAACACGGGGAGGCATCTGGGTTGGGCCAGGCCTGGGGGAGGTGTACTCATTCATCCTCCCTCCTCTCCTGCCTCCCGCCCTCACACCCACCCAGTGCAGAGCAAGACAGACAGAAAGGAAATACAATGGCCACCATCTTGCAGCCCTTGGTAACATCACTGACAACTTGCCGCCTACATTATCTCCTTATCCCAGAGAGACTTGAAATGAGAAACCGAGACCCCCAAGACACCCTACATAAAGGAAGGCCACAAGCATCCAAAATTCTAGAACACAGCAGATTACAGGCTGGGAAGGCCGGGACCTAAGTTTCATGTTTTCAGAGCAGGTTCCCTTCACACACATTGGTTTGTTTGATGAATACATGACTTTGGGCACGTTTCTCCTGGTGTCTTAGTTTCCTTATTTGAAATGTAGAACTACCTGGAGTGAAACCAGGAGGTTTCTATCTCAAAAGTAGATAATTATAAATAAAGTCTTTAGTTAATCTCCTACTGCTAAAATCTGTGAAAATCAGATGAGTAATAATACCTCCTACCAGCAAGCTTCCCCAATAGGTAAGTGTTAATAAAGGATGTATGGGTAGCATAAATCAAGGTTCAATTCTAGTATCCAGTGAGCAGCCAGGAGAGCGGCCCTGAGTGAGGGTCAATGGATAATGTGTCCTGGGAAAGTCACTCTTCCCTGGGCTCTGTAATGGGGGCACAGTACTAATTATCTCCCCATTCCTGCTTCAAAAGGACGTTGTAATGTTTATAAACCACTTGGAATACCTCAGGAACAGGGTGACATGTAAACAGGTCATATTCATGTTATTATTAGTCTTACCTCACAAGATGCCGCAGTGGAATGAGAACTTTATAGACACCTGGTAAATATGACTAACGGCTCCCCCTCTCCCAGTGAGGAAAAGGGGAGGGGAATGCAGGCAGCAAAGGAAGCCCAGATCAGCACCCACCTCTGTTCTGATGGATACTGGTTTTCAGGCATCATCTTTGGCATCTGCAGGGGCTGATGTGGTGGCCGGGGGACCGCAAAGGTTTGCTGCTGTGGTCCAGGGTCTGGAAGCGAATGAGGGGTGGGGGCTGGGCCCACACCTTGTACTGGGCCTGCTGCAGCAGGGTGCACGGAGGTGGGCAGAGTTGCCTGAGGTGGGGGAAATAGGGAATTCTGATGGGTGGGTGACAGGGGGGTGGTAGGAGGGGTTAATGGCTTGAACCCAGAGGGAGGCTTCCTATCATAGGCACTGCAAACAGAAAAAGAGAAGGAACCAGTAAGCTGCAATGAAGCCATTAGCTTGGTCACCAGGTCCAGCAGAATGCTGCAGCCCTCAGTTGCCAGGAAATGACAGCATTAACATAGTTAAATTGCTGGCAGCCCCGAGGGAATATTTGTACCTCTGAGAAGTGACAAACACACTGCGTCACAGGGACTATTTAACACTTCTAGTGATTCTTCTCAAAGATAATTTTAGCCTCTGCTTCCAGTTTCCTTTCTCCCCCCTTCCAACCGTGTTCTCCATGTATGTGTGTGTCAGGTGGACAGATGGGGGCAGAATTTACGTGTCTGGAGAAGTTTCCCAGACCCTCTCCCAAGTATTCCAGGGTTCCCAGAAATTAGTCAGAATCTTTGTTGAAGACGAATTTCTGCTGTAACATCACTTGAATTAACAACTCTTCTCCTCCCCCCTCTCAAGTAGATCTATGTTTATCTTCTAGAGCAAAGAATGATTTAAAATTAAAGCTTCATTCCTGAGCCTGGATATTCTTAAGTAAAGGGCATAAGCATCAAGGCCTTTTCATATTTCTGATTTGAAGATTACTTCTTTGGTGCTTAAAGTTCACATTAACATATGATAGACACGAAGGAGTATACATTCCCTCCCTCGAAGTCACAGATCAAATATCTCAGTATTCAAGGATTTTTCCCTTGGGGGAGGAGGGGGGTTCAGTACCCCAAGCACTGAGTCCTCCCACCACCCCAGTCAGTTGAACAGTTTTGCATTTCATGTTCAGCACAAAGAAAGGCCCGTTTGAGCTGGCCTGCACCTAGAGGATTACACTGCAGGTAAAGATGGGGTGTGCTATGCTGAGTGTCTGTTGAATAATATTTGAAACAGTCAGCTTGAAGGCTACTTTCTGGCCAGCCTTCTCTGGCTCCACTTACCAATAGTTGTAGAGGCACTTTTCTCCATAGTTAGCACCGAGAGCCTGCTCATGGCTGCAGGATGACAGCTCGGAGGAGGGGCTGTGCAGCTCCCGTTTGATCTTGGTTGGAGGTGGGGCATGAAGCACCACTGAAATGAGAAGAGGGAGGACAGCCGATTAACAGGGAGCACAGTGCTTCCTTCTGCAAACCCTGAAATGAGCTGATTGTTCTTGGAACTCATGTCAAGTCACATGCCAGAGAAAGCCAAGTGCTTAAATATAGTCTTCCATCTAAAACCCTTAAAAAGTTCTTTTAAAGTGTCATCACATGACACTTTAAAAAAATTATTATTTTTTAATCCTCTGATTTTTAAAGAGAGAGAGAGAGAGAGAGAGAGAGAAACATCGATTGGCTGCATCCAGACTGGGGATCGAACCCACAACCTACGTGTGTGCCCTGATGGGGAACCTGCAACCAGCTGAGCCACCCAACCAGGGCCAAGTGTCTTTTCCAAATTTCTTTGGTGTTGGGTCTGCTTCCCAGAGGCTCTGAAACACTTAAACATTCTGCAGGTGATGCTCCCTCTTCCTCCCCAGAGCAGGTATGATAGAAAACCAAGAATTGCAAGCATGAAGAATTTTGTATCCAAAAAGGACAAAACAGCCAAAAACATATTGGTAGACATTACACATTAACTCATCAAAGACTTGAAATTCCTCTGGCAAATACATTTCATATTTGGAGGCATATTTATAAATTAAATACATGACTTTTTAAAAGTCCCTCCACAAGCAACTCTAAATATCAGGTCTGAATAGGAGACAATTCAACTTTAGGGACATTTCAAACATTTTTAAAAGCAAAGGAGTAAAACAAAGGACCAGACCACAACCTAGGAAAGGCTAACTGTACAGGAAATGTCCTGGAAACCTTTGCGCTTATGTGTGTTTTTTTCCCAGTGACTCCCCAGGAAGGGCAGGTTTTTATAACTCATCCTTTCATGGATGGTGCCAATTACTTTTCCTCAATGAATGAAATGGTGCACAGAGCTGTTGCTTTCCATTTGGAAGTCAACTGCATATTCCATATGTGATTTTGAGAAGCCAAAGCAACAAGTTTTTCAAGTCAAGGTGACTTACATATAGTAGCCAAACCAAACTGAACTAAATCAAACCAGGTTTGCCTTTTCGGTCTTATCTAGGCGCTACTCATTTTAGAGGGAGCATTTTACCCAAAGTAGGACACACTTTAAAGATGCTGCACTATGAGGGCTGTTTTCTTCTTGTTATAGTCAGAATTGCTACTCTGTCCAGCTATCCTGGAGGGTGGGGGAAGCGCGAATGAGTTAAGCATTTGTGTTAGCCACTTTCCAGTGTATCAAAGGTCTCATTAAATAGCTAACCACAGTCAGTGCCCTGGTAACCCACGAAAATTTTGTTTGACTTAGTGTTTACTCCTAAAATATTTTCAGGAGATTGGCAAATTCTTTGTGATTAAAAGAGGTAGACTTACAGCTCAACAATCATCCCTTTTCTGACTGATAAGACTGAACAATCTTCAGGCTAACTGGTTTTTCAGTGCCTCCTCCAACCATGAATTCTGGTCTGAGAAGTTAACAAATGAGACAGGAAAGTCTATCACTGATGACAAGTTTATAAAGCAAAGTCCTGCCAGTGACTGACTGGAGAGGACAGGTTTTCATAATTTCTTCCCTACATAATGCCAACTGCTATTCCTGAGTGCATGAAATAAGTTCAGAACTGGCAGATTATATGTAGAAGCCATTAGAGTCTCTCCCATGATTTTTTGATGGTGACATCATGGCAGCCAACTCTCAATTGTTATCCAATGTTTTCAGACATTCAGACACAGAAAATGGCTAGGCTTGTTATTGTTAGCATCTTGTTAGTAAACGAGAAGGGAGAGTCAGACAACTGGACACAGAAACCATTTCTCTAAGGCAGCACTGCCCCTTTGTCACTACTCGTCTTCTGCCATAAAAGTGTTGGCAAAACAATGAGAAAGGTGATGATGTCCCAATGTAAACAAAGGTTCTGTGTCTACTTTTCTTACTTTATCTAAAGAAAATAATCCCTGTTTACCTAAGTTTACAATCCCTGTTTTACCTAAGTTTAGAAAGTAAATGATTATGGTACTATTCAATTTTCTCATTTCAGGTTTTAGAAATGTCTTGACATTTTCATGATATTATTATAAATATTATCAGTTCTGCTGATAAGACTAACACCAGAAGGTAAACCAAAGCTTCCCGAAAAGAAAAAAATTTATAATGGCTTCAGGAACAGTGTATATCTACTTTGCAAGAGAATATGAACTGCCAGACAATTCCAAGTCTTGATTTCTTTAAATCTACACAGTACTTCTAGTGTGGACCACACCATTTTGGCTCTAAATTATAAACCTTCTATGACCCCCAAATTGTCTTATACCTGGGATCCTATATTCTCTACACAAAGGAGTAATTCAAGTAATATCTGGTGAGTGCTATGGTCTGAATACGTGTGTTCCTCTCAAATTCGTATGTTGAAATCCTAATGTCCAATGTGATGGTATTAAAAGGTGAGGGAACATTGGGAGATAATTGGGTAATGAGAGCAGAGCTATGTGAGGATGCCAACTTTCTAGACTCTGAAGAGAGCCCTCACCCAACCATGCGGGCACCCTGATCTCAGACTTCCAGCCTCTAAAACTGTGAGAAGTAAACTTGTTTTTTTATAAGCTACTCAGTCTATGGTATTTTCTTATAGCAGCCTGAATGGACTAAGACAATGAGTGACTGAATGGATTAAATTTCCAATTAATTCTTAACCACATCTAGCCTACAAAGCTAGACACAATGATAGTCATGAATATTTCTTCCCCAGGAATCTACCATTTAAAGGAGAAAGAAGAGAGTGGAACACAGCAGGAATGAGAATTGGAAGTTTCACAGACCACTGATAGGAAAGCCATTAGGAGCCCTGCAAGCAGTAAGAAAGAAGGCTCAGCTCTCCCAAGGAACTGAGCCAGAGGATGTATAAAGGATTCTGATTATGGCACGCGTTAGTCAGAGATAGTGATGTATATTTAAAGCAAGAAAGAAGAAGCCCAAGGAATGCTCCTTGCCTTTAGTCTGTTCCTTCCTTTGGTAAATGAGCTTTGTGATGCTGCCTTGAGAAATAAAGAAAATGGCATAGCACCTTGCAGATGGTGCTATGATATTGTGTAGTTATACACTGTGCTTTCAAAAATAGAGTCTTTACCTTCATACAGGTGACATACTGAACGACGGCGAGACCTAGGGCTATAAAGCATGGCAACAAATTGAAATTGAGAAAGGATCATGAACTCTAAAATATTTATGAAGTTTGAATTCATAAGTTTGAAAATAAATGCCAAAAAAGTTGACTATGTGAGTTGGTAAGCATTTTCTACCATTAGAAATTTTTCTCAGAGTTATTGAAGATGGGCCCATAAAGCCAATGGTGCTCTGACAACTCCTGGTGAATATGAACCACATTCCTTGTTGTAAAGATGTCAACCATTCATTTGCTGAGCATCTTCTATGGGCCAGGCATCCTGGAGGCGCTGGGATATGATGATAAGCAAAACAGACACGTTTCTTCATGACATGTATAATTTAGTGAGGAATCTGACTTTTAGCATCTTCTCATAGATATAATTAGAGTTAGACAAGAGCCTCACAGTCCACTTAATCTAGTCCCTTACATATATAGATAAGGACCCTGGGCCCAAAGAAGTTAAAGAAATTGCTCAAGGTCTTGGAGCTGCTGCCATTAGAAGGGAGAGGAGGAAATCATCCCCCACTGTCATTTCGGTAATCTACCACAGGGACAGAAATGGAAGATATTTCACTCACTCAATTTGTACATTAAAAATAGAGGACATAAAGCTTTTTTTCAACTAAAACAAGAAAAACACATTACACTTAGTACAAGGGAAACATGCATAAGAACTAATACCTCTGGAAAAGAACAAGGTAGACAGACCACGAGAGAGGCAGCCAGATGGGCCCTTTAGCATCTACTTTGTGCCAAGTTACTCTTACATACATTATTTTATTTGATCTTCCCAAACAATAGAAAAGTTACTTCCACTGTCTCCATTTTATAGATGAGAAAACCATGGCTTAATAAAGGTAAGTAATCTGTTCTGGTTGCATAGCTGTAAGTGGTCAGGATTTCCACCTAAATAGTTCTTAGTCATTCCGTCACATTGCCTCCCAGATGAAATCTGACAGATAAAGATTACATCATTAAGGGATTAAAGGAAATAGAGAAAGAGATGGAAAAGGAAGACAACACCAAAGAAGAGATAGGAAGAATACATTTTGCCAGCTCTCAGGGTCTGTATCCTCATGTTTTCTAAAACTGCACTCTCCAGCTGGAGGTACACCTGATACACCTGAATTCATTCAAGGACTTACACTTTCTCCTATCTCTAGGCCCAGGATTCCTCCCTTCTCCCTCCTACTGGCAGCTGACATCTCTTGACTCCAGCAGCTTTTAACTTCTTATAGTCCTTGCCTCCAGTTCTAGTGTTCCATCTAAAAGATATCATTCTTCCTTCTATATGCTAGCTGACCAAAATCGTCTGCTCTTTTAGACAACTGCAGGCACTTTGGAAGACTTGGTATCTTCTGCAGCCAGCCAATGACTTGCCAGACAGGGCACCATTGCCTTGGATACCATCTCTCCACAAGCTCTGCCCTCCTGAAATTGCTACTTGACAATACTCTCTTAATTCCACCTCTGAGGCAAGAACATTTTCAGTGAGTGGTCTGGACATGCACAAATATAAATGAGATGCTCTGCTTGTCTGGGGTAGGAAAGACAAGGGTGGCTGGCTGACAAGATTTTCAATCCATATCTGTGGGTGTGCACAATAAGGAACAGTGTATGGTGGCTTTGTAGGCCATCATAACACCATTTTAAATTTGGATATGATGTTCACAAATCAACCAACTTAACTTCATAAATTGCTTTTTTTTTTACTAGGGAACTCCATGAAAGATTTTTCTCTCTGAAAAATTGATCAAAAGTCATGCCTGATGCTAGCCAATGCAATAAGTCAAGTAAAATAAATAAAAGGTAGGAAAATTAGAATAGAAGAAATATAGGGTCATTA